CATCCAATTAAAACCCCAGAAAATTAAATAAACTCTACTTTTATGTACATCAACGTCTTAATCGTTTCAAGATGTAATTTTCCATTTACATTGCCCTATCATTCTATTTATGAGTACATTTAGATGTACATTGGGTAGCGTAGATTTGTTTTATTCTCTTTGTCTTATAATTGTAGATGAAAAAAATTCTTTAAAGTTCGCCCATATGTACAAAATTGATAATACCAATCACAAAGTTTAGATACTTTTTTCGTTATGTTCATTTCATTTTGTTTCGTGCAGTTTGTAAATTGTTTTCACTCTACTTTGAAGGGGTAAATGCGTTTCTATAGAGTTTAGTTTGATTTAATTGTGAAATTAATATTTTTCATATTGGGGAATATTGTGAGTTGTTCATTTTGTTTGATCTATTGACCTTTGGTATTGATTACATAACTGCCAATTATCCTATGAATCGACCAACGGTCGATCATTTCACTGTTCGTTATAGTTTGAGAACAGACATTTTAATCGACACATCATTATTTTTGTTTTTTTAATCCTTAGTTTGTGTACATAAATTGTAAATATCGTGTTTAACATCAGAATAGTTTATTTATGCCAGAAAAAAAAACAGAATGAAAGTGTTGTTGAACGTTTTCCCGGTTTTTTATTTGAACCAATCAAGGACTTTTTGTTGAATGCTTCCTATGAGTTAGATTGCATTGCACTTTAACAAACCCACAAGTATCTAACTTCGGTAACTGCCGACCAGCACTAAGCGATTATGGAAGAGAATGTTCGTTGTGACATAATTTCTTACGTAAGTTTTGGTTTTCGATTAGAATTTTTTTGCTTAAAACTTTGTTCCACTTTTTGTTGAACACTATGAACATCCATGAAACTCTCTTGAATTTCTTGACAAAATTAGAAAAAAAACAAATCAATGCTTTCAAAAATATCATAAGAATAATAAGTATAACATCAACTCTTAAAAGAAAGCATGTTGTCCCGTCGTGTATTAAATTTCAATCTGAACTTATGATCAGATAGTTTTAAATTAAAAGGCCCGGATGTTCTCAAAAATAAATAACGAATTCTGTCACAATATTCTGTATTCGAATCTGATGGCAGTCTTCGATAGATTAATTATGCAACAATCCCAACAATTTAAATGTAAAAACGTTCAGTTTTCTTTTAAAAAAAGACTTATTAGCTACAATTTTGCTTGTATAATCATTGTCTATCGAAAAAAAATGGATGCAATTCAACTTCAGCTCATTCAAAAAACCGTTTTTTTGTTCCCTGAACTTTCTCAAATTGCGGTTTAAGTCGTGAAACAAAGCGACTGAAGCTTTTTTGGCTAGGGGGGAGGATGTTAACTTGATTCTGAGATCGAATTTTCAGCCAATCAGAATAGAGCATTTTACATGCGGGGCTAAGTAGGTTTAAATTAAAATGAACGCTGGGGATCTAAACTTGGTCTACTTGCTTGGAAGGGGAAGATGTTAACTTAATTCAAAAACTTATTGTGGAGAACCAATTTTTATAAAGAACCTAATTTATTAGCTTTTTTGATAAGTTAAAACTCATTTCATTTTTTCTTACTTGGGTCATGATGGGTTTTTTATTTTTCTATGAAAGCCTCTCCTAATAAATAAAACATGGGTGGGCTATTGTTGTGTTTGATGAGTGCCTCTCATCTGTCTAGATGTTGCATGAAGTCATTCAACTGATATTTTCATCTTTAAAAACTCAGTAAACACATCATTTTCCTCTTTGACTTCAAAAAAATTGCCTTCATATCATCTTGCTTCCTTTTTCTAACAACATGTTTTTTCCTAGTGTAGTGAAGTAATGTAATAAACAACTATCTTGATGATAATCTCAGTTTTTTTTAAAAAAAAAAAGATTAATTGATTATCCACCACATTTTTCTGTCTGAATGTCTTAAAGTTTGCTACAAAACCAATAACGAAGAATTGCTGATTTCGGTCGTATAGAAATAAAGGCGACTTACATTACTAATTCAACTAGAGTATCTTTAGAGTATTTGGAGTTTTGAAAATGGATCACAACTTTGGAATTTTGTCTATTTCAGTGACCAACATGGTAGTTGTGTCATTTTAAATCTGATGATTTTTGTTGTTTGCTAGCTGGTTCATCCACAAAATTAATCTTTCGAATCTCGCCGTTTCAAAAAAATAAGTTTTTTTTCTACTAAATTTTCAACTGTTAAAAATTTAAAAAAGCCACGAAAATCATTTGATACATTATTGGGTTTATAGTTTTTGGTCATTAACATTACAACTTTCATACAAACGAACGGCCTGTTTTTTGGAAAAAACCTGAGTTTTAACTGAAAAATTGTAGTTTCATGTTTCAGACCAAACTGGCAACTCCGTTTATTCTCAGAGGAGCTAGGATCTATTTTCAAAACCTAACTATTTTCAAAGCGATTAAAGTTTTCCGTTTTCAGATTAGCTTACCTAAAAAATTGCATTTTAAATCAACTACTTTTCCTGCTACTTTCGTTTTTTCAGACTTTCAAAGAAAGTGGCGGATTAAATATGACTGGGGTGGTTTCTTCTTCAGACAATTTAATGACTTTTTAACTAGCAGTTTAGGGCGGATATTTTTTATCAGCTAAAATAAACTGCTGTTTTGAGCTCAACTTCAAAAACAATTATCAAACCTGCTAGTATTTTTGGTAAAGTTATAGGGTTTTATGTTTGCCATTTTGGCCAATGGGAGACAATTAAAGCGCGACAGATTTTGTGCTTTTGACGCTAAAGCGCAGATTTAATCCATGCTAGAAATCGTTCTAATTTGAAGCATGTCTGCTTAAAACAACGCTAGTTTAATCAATTTTTTTAAAGAACTAGCACTAATTAAAAGAGCTTCAAAAGCAGTCGGAGCACTCAAGTCTTCAAATCTCAAACGAAATTTTACTGATTAAGTTTATCGTAGTTATTAGCCTTTTCGGACGTTATTTGAAGCAGTAGATATTTTGAGTATTGCATGATGAAGCACAATGTTTTCTATAAAACTTCCGCAATAATTGGTGTTCCAAAACTATTCTTTTCTTCCAACGTTTAGCTTCTATTTTACATTGCTACATCACGCGATTCGAAAAAGTTTGAAAAACTAACAAGGCTGCTCGTATCAGGGCGAAGCCTTGAAGGTTCCGACTGCCTATTAAGGTTTATGGAGCAGTAATAACATTAAAACCTTAAAAGTAATAAAACAAACAAATGAAGTTTTTTTCTCTAAAACTTGAAATTTTTTTAAATGAAAATCATCCCCCCACACGCCATATAAAGTACAAAAGGATAGTTTTTGCTACTTGTAACAAATCAATTTGGCACGATTTCTAAGACGGATTAACTCTCCGCTTACGCGTTAATAACGCGAAATATATCGCGCGTTAATTGTCCCAAATTGGCCAAAATGGCAATCTTTAAACCCCCATAACTTTACAAAAAATGATCATAGCTGATTTATCTTTTCAAAATTGAGCTCAAGACAACAATACCTTTCGAATGATAAAAAAAAGTTCCGTCAAAAATGGCTAGATAAAGAGTCGAAATTTGTCTGAAGAAAAAAAACCCACCACGAGCACAAATATTCCGTTACTTTCGTATCGAAAATTGGAAGAACAAGCGTTGAGCGCTAGATTTATCAACAGCTGGCAATTTTTGCATCAACGTTGCATCAGATTAGTTGAGTTTAAAACTGTCCTACACTAAATTGTAACGATTGTTTTGAAAATGTTTTACATCTTTGTCCACAAGGTTTTAAAATTCAAACATGTTTTTACTGATCAAAAATGACGAAATGTCTATAGCGTAGCGTTCGTTTCAAAAATGATGAAAAGTCCAAGTTCTTAGGAAAACATCTCCCACACGCTATGTAAAGTACAAATCGATTGAGGAAAGTATTTTTAAATAGACCAAAAAGTATGCCCAATTCAATTTGGAATGGTTTCTCAGACGAAATGAATCTCCGCTCACGCGTTGGTAGCTCGATTGTGTAGCGCGTTAACTATCGCAAATTGGCAATGAAATTAAAAAACGACAAGTTATCACAGGTAAAATATCTTTTTTAATTTAAGTTCAAAACAAAGATGCATTTTCAATGTCAATAAATGTGCGTCAAAATTTTGCAGTTGAGAAGTCGAAAAAACCATCCCAATACAAACATTCCTTTTTCTGCGAAAGTCGGAGCAATGTTTCAGTAAGTTAAACGAGGCATTTTGGATTTCTTTTTTTAGAGACATTTGTATCGCGTCGTTGTATCAGATTAGCTGAAATCAATACTGTCTCTTTCTGACTTTTACGATTGTTCTCTCGCTATTTTTATGGAATGAGAACAGTTTGGTCAGTGTTTGAGACTGAACTAAATGGAAAACTGCGAAATCTGAGTTTTCAAAAATTTCAATCGCGCTGGAACTGGAAGTAAGGAAAAGTGTTGTTTGTTCATCAAACTATCCATCGAAACGCTACTTCACTGTCTATACTGCCCCCGAACAAGCTCAGTTCGGCCAAAGAAAACCACTTAGAACTCTCGAAGGTTGCTGTGTCGGATTTCTTCTAGTCTTCGGCATCTTTGGGAGATTACTGAGCAAGATTGTTTCCGTTGTCTATTGAAAAACAAGATGTTTTTTTTTATTGAAGTGCTCATTTTCGGCCCATCAATTGTTCGATGAGTGTTTAGACACAAGGAAAATTAGAAAGTTTTTCCGCATTTTGTATAAGCACTCTACGTGAAACGCCCTTATGTATGCCTACGAGACACTGTTTAATTTTTTTCGAAGATTCACGACGTTTATGTCGCGTTTGGAGTTTTTCTCATCCTTTTTGACCAGTACGGTTCAAACGAAAACAAAATTTTTCCGAAAAACGACGAGTAAAATTTAATGATAACTTGGTGTAAAATAACTTGGTGAAAACGAATTGGATTAGAAATAGATAAATTTTCATTGAAAATTCATGAAAATTACAAAGCTTTCAGAGAAGATAATTATTGTCATATAGTATATTATATATCATCAAAGAAAGAAACCCCAAAACACCAAAGCTGTTTGAATTTTTTAAATTAAATTTCGAAAATCAATCGAAACTTTTGCGGGTTTTGGGCAGTTGAACGAAAGTAAAACATCAAGATAGAACAAACCAAATGCAACCTAGAACTTCGTTGAAATGAGTTTATTTCAAACAATCTATCGTATTTCAAATATCTATTTAGGGAACGAGGAAAGAGTAACTTGTAGTTATTGACTAAAACTAGGGCAACTTTTGACAGGAGGAAAATTTGATACCATAATACAACATGTAATAGTAGCACAAACCAAACTGAATCGAGCGGAGAAAAATAAATCTGCTACAAAACTGGAACCGGGAGTTAAACATTGCAGACTAAACTAGAAAGATATCAGTAAGAGAAAACTGGAGCTATATTTGCAACTATATTAAGTTTATTAGTGGTTCAGGGGGGGGGGGGGGGGTTTGTAGTGTAGTAAGGATAAGGATAGGCTGGGGGAATGGATTGTGGGGTAATGGACGGGAGGGGGGGGGGGGTTGAGTAACGAACAGACACTTAAAGATGAGCAACAAAATATTGACTACTATTTAATAGTTTTGAGTTGATAGTTTTTCGGACACTGTACTATTTCTACCCTGTACATTTCGATCATGACTCGTGACGACCCCGACAGTTGAATGAAGGCGGCGGAAACTGATACGACCCTTGTTGTTTCATTAAAACTTATAACCAGTTTATAACGAGAGCTGTTTTACTAATCAGTCCACCAGGTTTGAAAGCTTTGTTTTCCATGTTGTTTTTTACCCTGCTTCTTGCACCATTCTAGTCCCGCTTTGCAAGTCTCTTTCTGATTGGTTGAACCTGTCAGCCAATGAGAGGCCTTATGTTGCATCGCGAGAGTAAAAAATAGACGAATTCTGATTGGCCGGAATTCAATTCGTAATTTATTCAACTTCATTGCGTGTGATTGGTCAAAATTGTAATTGGCATTGCAGAGAGAAATTTGTGAGCCAATCAGATTGCAGAGGTTTGTGCAGCGAATAGAGAGGCGGCTTGTGATTGGCTATTTGCGACTGAGGCGGCGGCCGAGTAGGCGTCGTACCCGTTGGTTAAGAATGACCCCCCAGCTGAGAGGGAGGCGCCTGTTGTTGTCGAGGTGGAATGGGGATGACCTCCGCCGCCCCTCACTCCCCCATTTGAGAGGAGACTGTTTCCTAACCCCCCTCCCGGTGGGGGCGGGGGAGTTATGGTGACTTCGTTACTCGACTGATCGTCGCTACAGTCGTCGGACAGAGCACCAGGCGAGTTTAATAATTGCACTGAAAAAAAAAATTCAACCAATTAGAGCAATAATGCCATTTTTTTTAATTACAACGGAATAAATGCCATCAGAGAACCGTTAAATACAGAATGTAGTGGTCCCCAAAATCCAAATTTGTTATTACTAATTAAGAAGAGCAGTTTATGATTTTCGATACCAGTTCAAATAATTCGGCCGAGAAAATCAGACAGCGGAAGAAAATTAGAAATATAGTTGCACAAAGCAACCATTTTTTTCTCGAACATATCTTAAAAGCCAGTTTGCATTCAGTCAAGAGTTAATCGCGTTTTGTTACAAAATTGCAGACTATTTGGATAATTCAGATGGATTTATTTGTTCAGCTTTTTCATTTTGTTACCTTCAAAAATTGTACAGTCGATTGAGTACCACTCGTATTTCAAACTCATCTAAACCAGTCTTTAAAGTTTTCAAATTTGACAAATATTCGACCTTCAAAAATAGAGACCTTTTGTCAACTTTTCTACTAATTTTGACAACTATCGAATCAATTTGAAAAACAAAAATTCACTTGTAATATTCCTCTTCAAACAAGTATTCGTGCATGCTTTGAGACTATAAGTTCGATTAGTGCCCACAAAATATGGTGTTTCCGTGTTTCGTACTTACAATTGTTCATAGAGTTGTTATCTCTCGTCCCGTTCATCACTATTCCCTCGTGTCCAAGGGTCGTTCTGTTGTTCGGACTCAGATGGTGGTGGTTGTTGTTGTTGTTGCCTGACCCCGTAGTGCCCCCCTCTTCTGCCCCTCTGTGGCCGTGACTGTGGTTGGGTGGGGGTGGGGACTCCCCCTCATTGTCGTCAGAGTGTGGACTAGTATCATCCCCTCCCCCTCCGCCTGAGCCTTTGAAGGAGTTGGTGATCTGGCCTTGGGCCAGGTTGTCCGGCCAGAATCGGTTGACTGCTGTAGGTCTGTTGTTGTTTTTGTTTTTCTTCGTTTTGTTCACACTCTCTGGGTTCGATGCTTCCAACATGGGCTGCAAGATACGCCGCCTCGCATTGATAAACCTGAACACACATAATCACATCTTGTATATAATTCTAAAGGCCCCTGTATGAAGTCTGATTGCAGCTTTAAATCACCTTATTAAATTTATTAAATTCGTACTCAAAACTGGCTGTACGTATAGATGAATTTTTGATGAATTATCGATGAATTTTTTAAGTTCCCTTTTTAAAACTATACTCGTAACTGCAACCTTGTCATTTCTCAAGTATTCTACGTATCGATTTACAATTTGACCATTTTTCACAAAACAATTTCATAATTTGCGGGGTTTTTTCAGGTCAAATCATGGGAGCAAAAAAGTTTTCATGTCAAAGGATCGGAGCAAAATTCTGCTTTTTCTGCATGAAATTGAGTTGGTTGACAAATATTTTCAATATAAACACGTCAGACTAAATCTGCCGATTAAATTTTCCGCGGTATTATTTTTCCCGATTATTCCCGGGATATTCTGGTTTTTCCTCTTTTGTGCGGTACTGCTCAGTTATATTGCTTCTCTATTTAGTTTGGAAGACTAAAACAGCAACGAAATGTTTAAACAATTAGGATAGGATTTGAAAAGAGTTTTGTGCCAACGAAAAAAAAACAATATTAAAAAACACCCGCCTACTAAAGACACGTTTAAGTGCTACTCAAAAACACAAAAACATTTTGCGGATAAGCCTCTGGATTTTTATAATTCTCCATAAAAATTAATTCATTGAATCTGCATATTTGGATTTAACATTAAACATTGCCAGCTTAATACATCTGTTTTTATTTGGACACTATGCCTGAAATATTGAGCAAGTCTATCATAATGTCTCTAAATATTAAATAGGCGGTTCTGTTCTGTTCCATCAAGCATGGAAAAAAGACATAAGAGAAAGTGTATTTTGGATGAAAAAATTAGTCGCTAAGTGTGTATTTATGAAGCGACGTTGTACATAAAACAAACAGACAGATGTTCGCACGCATTTGAATAGCATTAGGCTCATAATTTATTCATTTCACAATTGCTCCCGTGCGAAAAAGCCACCTTTGCTCAACATAATCGGGACCTGATCTCCTAACCTCGAGTAGAGACAAAAACGTGTACACTTATGTAGAAGAACCAACAGGAGGTCTCAAAATTAGATTTAATGGGAAGAGGAAAACGAGTTTTGTTATTTCTGGCCTAATAAAATTCAATCCAACTTCCTTTTCAGGTGTGGGGTCCGAATTCGAGCCTGTTCTGTTCCGTATTTTGTTCCGCAGTAATATTCTTCAATTAGAGTCTCATTTTTGAGCCGACGGACAAAAAAGAGAAAGAAGATGTCACCGGTTTAAAATTGACTCATAGCTGAGCGTAGAAAACCCCACAAGTACTTTTTTAATTGTTTGTACTGCCGCCTAATGAAAATATAAAATGTCCCAAATTATGAAAAAAATGAGCACTTGAAAAATTCTAACACTCATTAATTTTTATTTATTTGGCATTTTTTTCATAAAGTTTTTGCAGCCCATGATTAAAAAAGAACTAGATTGCGAGGAATCGGAGCATTAAATATAATCCCGACAAAAAGCTTAAAAATGTGGAAAAATCAAGTTGGATTGTCATCTCGCTGACAGATATAAGGATTGGAGGGAGATTTGGGGGAGGGGTGGGGGCTATCCTGGTCAGGTATTTTGGTGGCTATTGGTGTAATATGCAAATAGGGGTGGTGATCGGAATACAGATGAGCCATAACTAGTGGGGGCGAAATGAGGGAAGTCATGTCATAACTAGAAGATATAACTGCAGTTATAACTGCCCTGCCATCACCAGTAGTAGAGGTGTCAGCCAACAGTCGTGGGGGGGGGGGGTTCTAAATTACATATGGGCCATAACCAGACACTTTTACCACCTCCATCCTCACTCCCTGTCTTACTAACTAGCAGGGATATTATATCATATTTATAATTTATACCACGCATTATCTGCACTGATAATTCACAATCACGCAGACAAAAGGGATTTGTATTGATTTGATGGTTCCCACATGTATTTTGACAAATAAAAAAAAGATAATCGAATGAGATTAGAACTAATTGGTGTCATATTTCATGATAGATGTCAGCAATAGCCCAGATAATTTGACTATTGGAATTTTGAAACGATGCTTATTTCTTGGAATTTTAGAAAAATGTGAAAAACATTCTCGCATTCAACAAAAGAAACAAAAGAAATGATCTCCAAATATTACTCTTATATTTGAAACTGAATTCCAACATAAAAAATTGCAGTTAAATTGTTAATAAGGCGGTCGTTTTTTGAGCAACAAATATTGATCGATACTCATTGAGTAAAAGGTGAACCAATTTTGCCATACCTTAGAAAATTGTTTTAAAAACCTTAAAAAAACACAACAGCTTTGACTCGCACAGAACTGAACACCTTGCATGGGGACAATTTCCCTTTAACGGGCTTGCCTTTTTCACTGTTTGCCCACTTGTGATTTTTACCAATTGGAACTTGGAACTTTTTACCAATTGGTTAACATTGCCCGATTGTTTTGAAATTTAGCATGTATTTGGTTCACTCACGCGCAAAATCATTTTTTGCGATGGTGATGCTTAACAGTTAAAGAGCCGAATGGAATGGCCTTCAAACTATGAACATTAGCTGCATGTTAGCTCTTCTATATCTTAACTTAGGAATATAATTTAATAAATTATGTTCGAGGCTGGGGCGGGTGGCGGGGGGGGGGGGGGTGGTGGTGTATTTTAGAGGTGAATTGTGATCATAAAAATAGAGAGAGGATACTGACCAGTTGTTGACCTGTAGGAGAGTGAGGTTAGTCTGGACTGCGATCTGTCGCTTTTCGTCCTCCGTCGGATATGGGTGCTAAACACAATCACACTCATATTACAAAAAGAAACATAGCTCCATCAGTATAGCTCCTCCAATGTAATAAGATTTCTTTACTTATCCAACATCCTCTGGTAACATAATAACTGAAACCGCCTTTTTTGGCCTGGTTTTTTTTTCAAAAGTTTGCCTGCGGCGCAAACTATTTGTCAAAATAAGGTCTTTATAGTGATTTGGGACAACTCAGAAATTCTATTTAGTCGATTTAAAAAAATTATCGACAAAAATTTCGAATTTTTTAAAAATCCCCCCTCGAGAAAGACCTAGATCCTCCCCTGGTTTAAGCATATACTAATTTTGTACCTTGTAATGAAATTTTTCCTTTTTTGCAAAAGAGGAAATAGTTAAAAACACCCATAAAACATTATAAATAGTTAATTAAACGCAAGTACAGAGACTTAATGCGAATACATAATGTATATTAATTATGATACTTACTACAATATGTTGAAAAAGCCACTGACGCATGATCTGGGTCGCGTGTTTCGGCAACACGCCCCGTTTCGTCTTCTTGAACGACCCGTCCGGGTTCATCTCCTGGTGACCCCCAACCCCCATCCCCACACCCCCCATGCCCCCCAACAGGTGATGATGGGGGTGGTGGGGATGTAGGGGCGACACTCCCGGAGGTGCTCCCCCATTCATGACCCCGTGATGGTGAGGATGTTGGAGTCCAACTTGGGATATGGGGGTGGACCCTGATAGCATCCCGCCCGGACCCCCATTGTGCAGATTGGACCCTGGATGGGGGTGCGAGTGGGGTGTGCCTGGCGGGGGCGCGTGACCTTGGGGTGAGTGGTACCCTGGAACAGAATAAGAAAAAATTTAAAAAATTATCCCAAAGTTAAACCTAATTTAAATTCTCAGAAACGCTTTGATCAATATCAAAAAATGAATGTGAAATAAGTATAAAACAGTCAATTCAGACAATTGATTGGTCACAAAAAGACGTCTTCCGTGAATTTTGATTCGGTTTGAAGCAATTTTTTGGGGGGGGGAGGGGAAATTAAGTGACCTGGAAAGTTTGCGGCGGAGGCGGCGGCAGCAGCGGCGGCCATTCCGGGAAACATGCTGAGTTGGGGGTAGAGAGCGGCGTGCATGGCGGCAGCCGAAGCAGCGGAGGAGGCAGTGCTTAGGTGACCCTGCTGCTGACCCCCACCCCCCTGTTGTTGCTGCAGTTGGGCGGAGGAGAGGTGGGGTCCACCTGAAGGGGTGTTGGATAAGGCATTGTGGTGTGATACATTAACTCCCAGACCACAATTGCTCAGTTGCAGCTGAAACAGAAAAAGCCCTCAGATTACAAATTATTAGCTAAAACCACACAATATTTAACTTCGAAGCTGTCATTTTTTGAGTATTTGATTCATTAGTTCGCCAATTCTAGTGTTTTTTCCAAAATAATTGTTCCGACTTTCGTAACGAAAGTAACGGAATATTTTTATAAATTCAACCACATTTGAAAAAACCTATTTTTCATACTAATAAAAAAGACAAGAAAAGCGAAATATTTTATGGTCTATTTCGATCGTAAATTCTAAAATTGTTTTAATTTGGAGGATGTTTAACATGCCTAGACTGTTTTATTCTGGGATTACAACCCTGTCAGAAAAACTTCATGTTTCCTTTTTGAAGTGATGCGTCATTCTGTTTACTATCAAACATCCATCGTTGGATTTTAAAACTGATTAAATAATTCACAAGTCACTTAATTGTTCTTAGTTTTATCCCTTCGTTATGACTGTGGAATTCATGTTTATGGCCTTGTGTGTATGCCCCTGTCCATAAAAGTGGAGACTGAATTAGTTTACAATATGGACTGAGTGATTTATTTGACACCTGGACAGCTGGCGAAATCCAACAACGCTAAATTTGCAAAGTGAGTCGCACGAAAAAAAAATCACTTGATCAAAATAAATGTCGAATAATTTTGCGCATTAACTGTAGTTCCGAAAAAAAATCGATCAAAAAACTTTTGTCAAAAATTGAGATTTCATCATTTAAGATTATAAATTCCTTCAAACTCATTGAGCTAAAGCAAAAAATATAACCAAAATATCATCCTATCTTTTTAAAAATTAGGGAAAAATTTATAAAAATGAAAAAAAAAATGTTTTTTTTTGAACTACATAAAACTCATTTTTTATTTTTCCTCATATTTTTTCATGATTTTTGAAGATGATGGAGATGAAGTTGAGATTATATGTCGACTTAGACATGACTTAATGGCAGTTGGTTGAGTTGACTTGTTTGGACATGGCCACAGTCCACAGTATGTGTGACATTTAAACACTGTTTAAATCTGAGACTTCTAATCTGTTGTTTATTAAAAAGAAGAGCGCAGATCTCTAATGACACACATAAGAGAATAGAGAACACCAAGTTTAACAGGTCACCCCAATCCGCACTTCAAAGACATCACATCATCACACTCACTGCATGTTGATGTGTTACAGTTCGACAAGACACAAAGCAACCTGCCACAGTTTAGACTGCCGACAATGCCATCGGAACTGTAACTCATACAAAACAACAAAATAAAAGAATTGACAAAAAAAATCACTGCAGATGCGAACAAAACAAAAAAAAAACGCTTGCTATGCTAGTACCACAGAATATTCCGACAACCATTATATTGCAAAAAAAAAATTTTAAAAACGAAAAAAAAAGTTTTTTTTTAAGATTTTTTTGTTGTGGGTTGGGGCGTTTTTTTTTCAAGTTTTCAAGAGTTCTGAGCCGTTTATCAACAGCTCATTTAAGTTGACTTGAATAGTCCTTTTGATTTTTGGCATATAAGGAGCTTTGAACTCTTCCTAATTCATCATATCTTCGCTGGAAATTGGCCTGAAAAGCAAAACAAAAATTGTTTGTTTGTCGTTTATTTGAGGTTACAGGATATATCGCCATTTATTGAAAAACATTATTTCTTAATGAAAAACTGATTGAATGAATTACTTTAGCTATAATTTAAATAAAATAACACAAAATAAAAATACGATCAAAAGTTTATTGGGAACATAAAAAACATTCAAAAAAATTTTTTTTTGTCATTAAAAACTGAAGTGGCCCATTTGAGTGAAACTGTGAAAATATGAAGCGACAAATTTCAATTAGCGTGAAGTGAAGATTAGCAATGTTGAGAGAGAATAGTAATGAGAATTAGTTAATAGTTTTCACTACTTAAGTGATTTGAGAAGATGTTTTTCCATTTGGAGGACAGTTTCAATGGCTAATTGAGATGCATGGAAATCTGCTTGCAATTCAAATTTATTTCTGCTTTTCAGCTCAATTGACCCTTCAACCCAACTCCATCTAGTCATTAACTGTCCATTTGCTTGTTTGTTTCTAAATGGACAAATTAGCTACAATTTTTCCTTTTTTTCTCATAAAAGCTTTTGTGAAAGCAACAATGGAAAAAATCTAACTGGGAAGACAAAGTTATAAATTGAACTTTAAACATACTGTGGTCAAAAATTACAACCTTTGGGCGAAAAACTCATTCAAATTATAAACAAAAGCTAACAGAAAATTGACTGTCGTCCGCGAAACCAATTTCGAAAAAATTTAAACAATCTCTTGAAAAATTTAGAAAAAAATTGGTCAAGCTCTTAAAAAATATTAATCATCGAACGACTTTTTAACCAGCTACATTGATGAACTTTAGTTAAGTTGGTGAAAATCAAATTGATATCCGTTCTGAAATCAAAAACCAATGAATTGATTTTTTTCTGGGCCAGGTTAAGCCGGTCGTCGTGTCGAAACTGGCGCGGTGACCATAAACAAGACATCAACAATGACACCCTGTGCCATCAAACACAGGTAGAGAGATGCTCCACAGAGAGACAAACAATCAGGTGAACAAGAGTAAACAAGGTCGGAGAAAACAAACAACAATCAACATTAGTCCAATCAATCATTCATGACACAAACATAGGCGCCGAGACAGTGTAAATATATTAACAAACTCACAACAAACAGGGGGTCTTATAGAGACCCAAAGAGGTCTCTGAGATCCTTAAGAGGGGGTGAATGTCGGGGTTCAAAATGTGGAGGGGTTCGATGATGCTTTTAAACTGCGCGCATGGCGTCTCGATTGAGTTCTGTCGGCTCTTCTGAGAAGTGTACAAAAATGCAGTAATGGCATAAAAGTGAAACAACGAAACTTTCTCAGATGTTTTATTGACACTCGATGAATTAATAATTGAGTAATTCTCATACAGAAATATTAAAAACGCCATTACAAAAAATGACAAAGATGCCTCGGATTTACAAAAATTCACAAAAAATGAGGAAAAAATCAAAAAAGCAAAATTTTTGAAATGGTATTAAAATATCTGTCGAAATTTCTTAATGAAATATTGCAACTAAGACTAATTTTTTTAAAGTATTTTGGCTAAAAACGACATTTTTAAAAGCATAAATGCATGCAGGACAACTATTAGGACAATTTGTTGAGATTAAAATTCTAGCCGTTAGGAACTTTTAATGATTTGAGTGATCTAGATTAAAACATTCCCATGTTTTACTCAACCTAGCCTAGAGATAAATTCGAAATTCAGGATAAGACAGCAAACATCCATCCATCCATCAGTATCTATATAGCAGTGTTTAGCTACTATGGTATGGTATTGTATGGCAAGTTATATGATGCCAATTGGAGATTTGATGGCCGTAGGCTGCGGGTGAAATTGATTACATGGGCAGTCCTTGTCATCAATGGATGGATAGATCCCTCAGCATATCAATTGGGCGTGAAACATTAGGGCCTATAAACTAGGGCAAAAAACAATCGAAGAATCATTTATTGCCCAAATATTCGTCCCACTTCAACACGCTGAGTGGGCGAGTGTGCAAAAAAATGAATGAAGTTGGTGACTAAATTTATAAAAACTCAAAAAACTCGGAAAAATGTTTCAAAATTTTAAAAATTAAGCAATATTGGAATTTTTATAAATTGAGCACACGTACTTAAATTAATTGTTCTAACAAGATACTATATTGATACATATATAATATTTTGTTATCGGCTCATTGGACCATCGGTTCTGTGCCCGTTGCAGCATATGTGGGTGGGGCTAAAAAGGGGCGGACCTCGGGGTGTCATGGATGAGATGGAAAAAGGGAGAGAGAGGGAGAGACAACGTAATACCCAGTTGGCAGGGTAGCAACATTAGTTAGTAAGTAGGGCAAGAGAGAACGAGAGATAGAGAGGGTGTAGGGTAGGGTATGGGTGGATGGGGGATGGAGGGTTGGGTTGGGCTGGGAGGGAGGGAGGGAAGACATTTTATGGACACATCATATGGATATACACTTCCCATATACACAGATCAGTTGCTGCAATCTAATCTGAATGATAAGGACTACTAAAGAGAAAAGAGAGAGAGAGAGGGGAAAAATTCAAGGTTTTCAGGGCAAAAGTAGGTTTTGGGGGCATAGGATGGACAGATACTAAATTTAGTAGTAGTATAAAATATAAAGCCAGTAGTTCAGGTTGCGAGCAAACGTGTGTTAATCGCTGATGCCGAAGTCTCAAATTTTTTTACATGCCACCAACGTAGTACTTAGGAAGAGAGAGAGAGAGAGAGAGAGGGAGAAGGAAAAGAGAGAGAAAGAGAGAGGGGGGAGCTCAGAAAAATTTTGCAATTTTTGTTTGGATTTTGAATGATATATCAAGGAAGTACAAGCAAGCAGTGCATCAGGCACGACATCTTTCTGTTTTATGAACAACATTTTTCTAATAAAACTGAAATTGTTCGGTAGCCTCTTTAAAAAACACATTTCGAAGAAAAATTTACCATATGAATATAGTTCCATGACGTAAAAGCAAAGCCATCTTAACAGAATTTGCCGTCACTTTTTGGATTCTGGAAAAAGGTCAAGATTTTTTTCAAAATGTAGTCCGTCCAATACAAAATGATTCAAAGACAACTTGGATCTTGTTAACTATTTCCCCCCTACGATACCTTGTAACAAATACCCCCCCCCCCCCCATAAAGAAAGAATGGAACAGTTAAGCATATACGAATTTTGTACCTTATTAACTATCCCCCCATATTGCCATAAAGGGGGGGGGGTAGTTAACAAGATCCGACAACTTATATAAACTTCATCCTAACTTAAAAGATAGCTGCTGTGACTTGAACTTGACTTCACAAGTAAGTGACTGCATTTACATCTATCTGGTATCGTAAAAGTGCCAATTAAAAGAGTTAAGAAAAAGATGAGAAAGAGAGAGATTTAATGGGTGGGTGATTAGTCGAGGGAATGTAACGGACAC